TTATCTCAACCCATGAATTTTACTTTTTTATTCCTGATTCTTTCCCCCATCCCACTAGGCAGGGGGGAGTGAGTGAATGGCTGTGTGGTGTTTAGCTGCCTGCCGGGCTAAACCACAACAGTCGGTCAGAATCCAGCTTCTGTGGTCTGGTAGCTGTTTTGTTGTGCAGTTCAAAAAAACCCAACAAAACAAACAGTAAGCCAATAACCTGGTAACTTGTTCCTATGTGTAATTACATTTAGCTAATAAATCAATAACCTTTTTCAAATTATCAGTTTAAAATAAAAGTACCTTTTGCCAATAATCTTCCTTTTTGTTGTCTCTTTGGTTTCTTTTTCGTCTCTTCCTCTCCTCACTGTGCAAACCCAAAAGGTCATTTTAAAGGATGTGGATTCTCTCCTTTATGTGGACACTGATGTTCTCTTCCTGAGGCCCATCGATGACATCTGGCACATCCTGAAAGAGTTCAACTCAACACAGCTAGCTGCAATGGCCCCAGAACATGAAATACCAAAGATTGGCTGGTATAGTCGATTTGCGCGTCACCCCTATTATGGGACAACTGGAGTCAATTCTGGAGTGATGCTAATGAATTTAACACGGATACGCAACACTCAGTTCAAGGTGAGAAGAAACACAGCTGTTGCAGAAACTAATGATTTATGTATTTTTCACATCTTGTAAAGCTTAGTATAAAATTATATAAAGTTTGTAATATAAAGAATCTGAAAAATAAAGTATATATATAATTGGATACTAAAAGCAATTATAGTGAAAATTATTATTAAAACAAGTGAAACTTCCTCAAGAGGCTGGAGCACTGAGAACTTGCAGATGAAGCAGTCTGTTAGCAGTAGTAAAAATGGCTTCTTCAACATTTCATTTTCTCTTGAAAGATACATGAAAGAATGAACTTAAGGATCTTCAGTGCAGTCATTGTATTTTTAAAATTGGAACGCTTGGTGTAAATATCCAGAGAAATCAATAATTTTTTGCATTTGCTGTAAATAGAATTTTGTATCCTGCTGCAGATCAGGTGACTCCATGAACTGATATAAATGAGAAGGGAACATTTTCACTGACATCTGACATCTCTCCTCTTTTGTGAAAGATTTGTAAAATCTCTATTTGTTTCATTGAGCACATAGTCTCTAATCTCTTTAAAAACTTGTATCTACTCCAAGTGGTCTTGTTCCTCAGTCAAGGCCAGGGGTTTCCTATACCGTTACAGGAACAGTTTGAGTAAAAAAATCCCTTGCTCTTAATTCCCAGTCTGCATTTTTCCTTGGTTTTATACCTCAGTTTTCACCTTTTCCCTGCATTTTTGCATTTTTCCACTTTTTCTCCCTCCTGTTGCTCAGAATAGGAAGATTGTGAATAGCAGGAGCTGACATCAGAGCTAGACCCAGGAGACCTAGCTTTCCTGTTTAGATAAACAGGAGCACAGTCAGCTCTGCTGTTCCAACCCTGTCCAGGTCTAACATTTCCTGGCAGCTCTTCATTTTTCACATAGGTATCTGACATGGCTTAGCAGACTTACAGATATGTGGGTGCCACACTCTGAGTCATATATCACATCACTGTTCATAGTATTAAGCCATTGCTTCTGTTTTTCTGCCCTGCAGAACAGCATGATACCGAGTGGTTTGACTTGGGAGGAAATGTTATATCCGTTATACCAAAAGTACAAAAATTACATTACATGGGGAGACCAGGATTTACTAAATATAATTTTTTACTTTAACCCAGGTAAGTAGTGATTCTTGGAGTCATGATTATCTGTGTTAAGAAAATGTCTTGAACTTGAAAAATTAAAAAAAAGGTGCTATTTGTTATTTATAAAATACATAATGTACTCTGGCATGAAGTTAATTTATAAGTGCATCTAGGATTTACAACCTATGAAAATACTTCTGAACGTGGTGCAGGTAGTGGGGCTCGGACTTGGTTCCATTGAATATGTAAATCTGTTTTCTGGAGATTCTGAGAAAATAAGGAAGTATAACATTAATGATCAAATGCAGGAATGAAGTTCAAGTTGTATGTGTGCTTAAGAGCGTCACTGGACCAGGACCTAGCTGAAAAAATGTTTTTGTTTCAGATGTTTATCTGAATGTGAAATTGCCAAACTTTTTCCAAAGCTATGCTCTATTCTTCTGAAATTTAGCTGAATTCTGATATTTATGCAAATGAGTAACAAAGCTAATATAAACAGAAAATGGACACACCCATTGAAATATCTGAAACTGTTGCCCTCCTGCTTTCGCTCCTTCGCTAAAAGTTACTTTTTGAGAGAGATGCTTCCAGCCTCTCAGCTGAATGATCCAGCCTCAGCAGGCACCAGGATGGTGTCATCTATATTCTGCTGCTTAGATTTGTGCATTTTCTGCTCCGCTGTATTCTGCTTGCTCTGGGACTATGAAGAGCTATGGAGGACTTCACGTCTCTCAAAACCTTGTTGTCAGAGAACAGATGGCATAACCCGCACCATAGTGTGGACCAGCGTGACCAATATGTATGTACTTGTCGGCCCAGCAAAATGTCATATTTGATTCCTGCCTGTCAGTCTTGCACAGTGCCTCCATAAACAACTTGTAACATTTTTGTTTGTTCTTCCTTTCCTCTTGAATTGGAGTCGTATTCTCATGAGTGTGTATTTCCAAGGAACTGGCAAGTTTAGGCATCTTTATTTTAAAAGGGTGTGACTTCTTCCACAAGTGCTGAGATAGTTTCTGGAAATTCAGCCCCTGGTAAGTATTTTGCACTGATCACACAGAAATGACTTCAGGCACTTCCAAAACCAGTAACATCTGAGAAATGCAAGGATTTCAAAATTGTAGCATAGTACGTGCTTCCCAAAGAAGCCGAGAACCTTATTTCATGCTTCTGAATATGCTGAGTATCCATTCTTACTTGTTTCCTGCGTGACCTTGTATTCCCTCAAGTAATCTTAAGAACAGAGTAAGTTTGGATTTATCTTTATTTATTCTGTTCTCTTTTCTTTTTCTCTAAGGAGTCATAGGGTATGTAACTGGATATACCCAAATCCAGGCAAATAAAAGGAGAGAGCAAAAGCAAAGCAATAAGCTAACATCTGTTTACTGCAGACAGATGTCAAACATCAGTGTCCCTTGCACACCATGTATTACCCTCAATCTTAGGGAAAACATAAAGTGGAAGAAATTTTCATTATGAAATCATAAATGAATTTCCAAAAAGAAATGAATGTTATGGGAATACAGTCTACTGGAGGAAGAAAAAGATGAAGCCAGATTATTTGTGAAGTCAACTCAAGCTGCTAACTTAAGTGTGGAGGAAAAAAACAAAGATTGCAAAAATATTTTAATTTTGTGATGAGAGTATTCTCTATCAAATCCACATGTTGAGGCTCTTTTCTGCACCATAGTCTGTCTTTTCCTTGTAGCTGGTAAATAATTTTTTACGAATTACGTAACATGAGAACTGCGCAAGAAAAGAAAACAAAAGAACTGGATACAATTAAAACAGAAAACTAGACTTTCCCGAGATTTAAAACTGCTGGATTGTTGAGACTGGCCTGGGAAGGAATCAGTCAAGACTGCTGCAGGTGGCTTTTTATAGATGCAATGCATTGGCTTAAAAATACACAGAACTGTGTTACCTGGGGCCTGAAGAGATGCACCTTTTTCCCATCTCCGAAGGATGTTCTGATGATTAATGGATCTGAAGGCTTGCAGAGCAGCTAGAGTTTGAGTCCAGCTGTGACAGCAAAAATGCACAAAAGCGTCACGGTGAGGAGAAGATCAAGAATACTCAAGTGACACGTACGAAAGCTATTAAGCACCTGATGACATCCTCTCCCCATAGTGACCTGCTGATGAGCTGTACCTGCAAACATCTGTTCAGGGTTACCGAAAGGATCCCCGTTAACTGTAACAGGGCTTGGATCAGGCGTTACTGCTCTTCCTGCCCTTTCAGCAACACTGGGCAGCAATTCTGAATGTGTGATAGGTCAGACTGAATGGAAACCACTTACAATCTACCCTTTCTTGAGCAGTCTTCTGCTAGAGAGGCCTTGAGGGAAAAAATGTTTCAGAAACTTTTTCTCCTACTTCTTCAAGAACCACACAGGACCAGCTGCAGACTTCCTGGGAAGCTAAGAAAAAGGCCAAGTGAAGAATTCAATCTTCAGTGCTTCTGACATGACCTGCTGGCATAGTGCAATGATTCATTGTGCTCCATTTCTGAAGCAAGAAGGTCACAGGGATTGGCGTGATTTATTATAAGCATGTTGCAAATACTGTGGGTGCATGGAGGAAGTTTAAAAAAAAAAAAAAATCATTAGGAGAAAGGCGGTTATAAGCCCTTTTGAGAAATTAGGCTTATTTTTAAATAACCTAGACCTGTGAAATTAATGGATGGCAACTCTTAGAAGGACTGTGGATAAAATACACTACCTCTTATGCTCTGCTGTATCTCAGTATAACTGCTATATCTCAGTATAATTGTCATAGCCTCAGTGAAGGCTTCAGCAGAAAATATTGGATATACTTTGCAAGCATTCCTATGCTGTCTCCAAAAGGTTTCAGGATTTTGCATGACCCTTACTGCTGTATGTGCTTCCCTAATCATTTTTGTCACTCTGGAAACTTCTTACTAGGGCAGAGGACCCTGGATAGTGCCACCTGGTGCATACTCTCTGGGTTTGATTCTGTCACTTTTAGCTTTGTAAAATGCTCTCTTGGTTTATGTTTGCACCCAGTCTTTGTGTTGCCCTCTTTTTCTGTTAGTTCAGGTCTAACAGTGCTGAGATATGTATAGTCATCCCCTGAAGAAAGGAAGCTTCTGTCTAGCTGCTGCTTTGGATATTTGCGAAAGAAGTAACTGAAATTTTTCTATCAGCAGTCCCAGCTTTTTCACAGAAATGATTTAATTTGTTGTAACTCTTGTTTGATGTGTCTTTTTTCCTCCCCGCCCCCGACTCCCCTGCCCAACATTGGCAGAGTGTCTCTATGTGTTTCCATGTCAGTGGAACTACCGGCCTGATCACTGTATGTATGGAAGCAACTGTAAAGGTGCAGAAGAAGAAGGAGTCTCTATTCTGCATGGAAATAGAGGCGTCTACCATGATGACAAACAGCCTACATTCAAGGCACTCTATGAAGTGATACGTGATGTAAGTCTTCTATCTCGATAGAGGAAGTCCTTTTATTTCAATGTAGATTACTGCTTTAACTGGGTCACTCAGATTGCTATTCCAGCAGATCAGGCTGAGCATAGTCGTGCTTTATGTATACCCATCAGACACAAAATAACAAGGTTGCTTTGGCCTCTCCTGTCTTACTGCATGCGTGTATTTGAGATTATTTAAATGATCCTCCTTCATATTATAGTAAACTTCTAATCAAAAAGGCTGATAAATTGCTTTTCTATGATACTGGAGGTGGAAAAAAGTGTTTGAATGGAGTTCTTCCTGCTGGTACTGCAGCTCTGGTCCGTAAATACCCAATGAAAGCTTGTCCTCCCTGAGCACCTGGCGCCTCTGGGCACGTGGAAGGCAGAAGCTTGCATACACACACAGGTCCATATTTCCACTTTGAATTTTGTATGTGCACAGCTCTGCTCTCTACAATATCTGTTTCGTTACAGTATCCCTATGTTAGTAAACCTCCTTTAAATATAGCCTCTAGACATACAGTTTCTGGGAAGTTGGCTATGTCAGGTAATAAGCCCAGACAAACTTTTCTGAAAGCAAGCGCTCTCGAGCAAACCAGTGGTTGAAGTTGATAGGCTTTGATGACGCTCTGGGAAGGTGAGGGACAAGTCATTGCCTACCGATATAAGGTTTTATCTTACAGAAACTTCTAAAATGCCATTTTGTAACTTGTGAAAACTAATAATTCTTTTTTTCTTTTCTTTAGTTTCCATTTGAAGACAATCTCTTCCAGTCTTTGTACTACCCTCTGCAGTCTAAGTTTCTGGATACAGTGCACACTTTATGTGGGAGAATTCCACAAGTATTTTTGAAGCAAATTGAGAAAACTATGAAGAAGGTGTATGAAAATCGTGTCATTGTCTACTTGGGGGCCAACCACAGATACTAAATGTAGCTATATTTTTACGCAGAGTTTTTCATTCTTGCATCCCCATCTCATGAAGCATATAAATGAAGAATATGACCTCTTTTACTGAAACTCAGACTTAAAATATTTTCCTTATCCAATCTCCTAATAATCCCTGAAATTACAAAAACAGAAGAAGTCCTAGAAGTCTACCTAAACTGTCCTTTCTTAGGCCTTTTGTTCTCTTCCAACATTCTCTTGGTTGCAATAGGGAGAGCTGATGATTCTCACTTTTATTTGATGAGTTTAGTTTGGTTTTTTGTTTAAGAACAGCTGTATTCACTGTAACTTTTTTTGAAGTTGTGCAAAAGCTTGTATTGATCTTAGGCTTAACAAAGAAGTTACGGTATGAGCTATGTAACATATAGGGAATATAACTCTTGCAATGATAGGGTAAATATTCTTGACTGTAATGAGAATGCTGATCACTCTTGTGATAGGATGAGTTAAAATTTACTATAGTAAAGGGAAAGTATTTGCTTAAAATTGCACTTCTGACTGAAGGTGTATTACCTGCTATTCTTCACATGTAGGACCTAAGATTTCCCTTACTTAAAAAGATTAGGGGAATAGAAGTGCCTATTTACTTTGTATTTTACAGCACTTTTTGTCTAGTGATTGTCATTTTTCCTCTCTGCTCTTCAGTGGTTTTGTGAGAGCTTCTCATGAAGGAATTAAAAGGAAAATAATTACAGCATAAATAGGAAAACAGTGTACAAGAAATGGGAAGGGGATGCAGTGGAAGCTGTGGCACCTGCACAGCTAATGGAGAACAGAAAGAGAATCCTTTCTGGCATGGAGAACAGTCATGTTCTTCCCCTCCAGTCTCTTACAATTTTAAAAATGTATTCCCTAACTTGGTAATACTAATTACATTAGACACAGTCCAAGAATATTGTGAATGAAGAGTACAGAAAGAGGTACTATCGATCTCTTTTCCTCTTTAGTTAATCCTCTTTAATTGCTATTTACTGCACAGTAACAATGGTATGCCACCGTTCTTCCATCCCTATGTTGGAAGGCTGAGAATGCTGCCTCTGACCCCCCCTTTTCTGCTTCGCCAGAGACCTGGGGCACACAGATGTATTTCTGCCTGGCACTTTCGTTCCTGGAAGTAGTGTGTTTTATGCTAGGTTCATAATGAATAGTCTTAAAGTGAAAAAGGATACAAGATGGCTTTGATGTTTATTTAAAATACTTCATTTAGTTTAGATTTCGAAAGGACGATGATCATCTTAGGATATGCACAGGCAAGAGCTTATTAAAACTCGCAGTAACTGAAAGGTGATTGGGACAAGTCACTGGGGAATTGGAAGTGAGGACACTCTTGAAGAGCAGTGATACAAGAGCAGACTCCCAGAGGGCATTTTCTAAGTGTAAGCCCTGAGGGGTGTGTGTGGGTGAGGGCTTAAAGAAAACAGCAGAGAAAATGGTCTTACTTTTCCAGTCTGTTCAGCAAAAAAAATTAGCCATTACTTGGAACTACTTACTTTTATATCTAATAGGCAAAGTAGGAGAGGGGTGAGCAGGGTGAGATACATGAAGCTTTTCTCTAATGAAAGGACAACTGATACAGATTGTGTATCTTGTACATGTTACATACATTTATTAGAGATAAATATTTGGGGTGTGTGAATGAGGGAAAGGATATGTTTCCTAAGTTAAAAAGTAGGATTTCTGAAGAATTGCAGTTTTAGGGGTTTCTACCCTATGCAGTCAGGACTGATGCACGGTTTCATAAGAAAACAGTCTCCAAGAGAAAGTCCTTTTAGCTTGCACATTCCTCTCTCCTTGTGGGGCAGCTCATGAGAGGGAAAATACAGGCCTTGCTGGCATCTCAGGCTGCCAGATAAACAGGCTGTACACAGGAAGAAGTGCCGACAAACTTTTTCCAAACACTAGAGTGTGAAAATGTCTGTGACTCATCCGTAAGCGTGTTGTGTGAATGACACGGCATGGCAAACGGCATCACTACAGAGTCATCTGAGTAGAGGAGGTGTTAAGATAGAGGCTTGGAATAAGGGGCATACGGTCTTGGTCCTAGCAATTTCAGTGCAGTCCTCACAGGCATGACAGACAAACAGAAACGTCTGTTGTTTGCGCCTCTGTGTGCTGCAAATTCTAATCAACAGTTTGTGCATGTTTCTGACTCAGATCCATTATCTTGCAGTCTTTGCCACGTAAGTGTAAATGGACATGCAAAGGACAGAGGCAGCTCTGCATCTATTTTGATTGAAAGCCCAGAATTTCCTAATGGGACCCAGAAAGGCATTTAAACTTAATTGTAGACATTACTGTCTCTCGCAACTTGCCTTAGTATTTTCTATTTTAACTGAAGTTTTAGTTGCCACTTAAAAAGAACAGTACATTTCTAGCTACAGAGAGAAATTTGAAAATGTAACCCAAATGAACCTTGCAGACTTCAGAACCAGAAGGCAATGAAAGCAAAAATTCAGCATGCTGCTTTAAAAAGTTTAAGATAATGTAAGCCTAACATACGACAGGTAAACCTTTTAGGCTAGCAATACTGAGAACTTGTAAAAAAATATTAGCTTGCTTTTTGATTTTCAAGTATCGGGGTAAAGCTGACTGTAGGTCAAATGAGGATAGATGAGACGCATGCTGGGCACTCCGAATTCCTCATTTCTATGGTATCTACAAGCCACAGAAAGTCACAGAGCAAAAGTCTTGTTGCCCAGACAATTGCAACTCTGGTGCTAAGCCTCTGAAGTTTAGGAGGCTGTGATTGTGTAAGCTATGATTCAGCAGAACCCTGCAACTATGGGCACATTAAAATGAAGGAATGGAATTCATTACAAAACAAAGGCATTATTGCATATGAAATGATTAGAGATTAAAACAGTGCTTTTTATGTTTACAGGAGGTGCTACTTTAGGTTTAGAAAGAACTGTGTTATGTTCTCAACAGCTATTAAAATATATGAAGTATATGCTTTAACATGAAGACTTTTGTTAATGTAATACCAACTTGCAGGAAGGATGGGGGAGGTTCCCCCCGCTGTGCTTTTTCTGAGAAAAAAAGCTATAATTTGAGCTCTCCAAAGTGTTTTAAAACAGTTATGTAACTTTGATTTTTTTTTTTTGTTAGGCTTATTAATTTATATTTTATTACAGCTTCCAAAACCATGTTATATTTTGGTTTTAACAGTAGTTGATTCCAATATTAATCTTATTTAGAAAAGAGTTTTCATTCATTTCGTATTTCATACTTGTGGTTAATTCCTTGTTAATTAGCCTTCATTTATTTTAAAAATGGGATGTGTAAATACTTATATAGACTTTATATCCTCATTTCCCCTTCCTCTCATGTATTTTAGTTATTCCCAGTTGTATAATGTAACCAAAACACCTTTGCTAATGTAACACCTTGAGCAGTGTCATCATAACACGGGGGAAACCAAAATAGTTTTCTTTAAATGAATAGAAACTCCAGCACATGGAATGTATCGAGGAAAAGAATCGCCTTTCACACTGAGAAAGAAACAGCAGGGTACAGCCCAGAGAACTGTGCCCGGGTTATTTGAACGTAAGCCCTAACCCAGCAAATGTTTGATACTCTGAATTTTGCCTGTGTAGTCAGTAGGCTTGTATGAATGCACAAAGTTAGGCATGTAACCTTGCTGTATCAGCGTCAAATATTCAGGTTCTAAATTTGCTGTTATACTTGAACTTGCCGAAGATAGATAAATAGGGGCTTTATGTTGAGAGCTGCTGCGCACCTCCTTTTAGCCCAAAGCCATTTAAGAAAGTGTCAGGCTAGCAGTGCATGTTGTACAACAAAGAACTGCCAGAGTGGGAAGCATTTGGTTGCATCATTTATATAATGTGAGAGGTTTTCTAGGCTATTTGCCTGCATATTACAAAGTGGGCTTAGATCGCTTCGCTATCATTTCACTTACAGGTGGAAACTGGAAGCTGCTCTCTGCGTGTTTGTGTGTGTCTGTGTGTGTACACAACAAGAGCGTATGTGTAAAGAATTCTGTAGCTTTTCTCTGTCATTTAATTGCTTGTGTATTTTTATTTGACAAGTGCACCAATTGTTTATAGCTCCCAAGGAGGCCTAGCAGTGCATTTCTGTGTTGATTAAGATCCTTTGGCTTACATTACAAATAAATGAAGTTTTAAGCAAGCTCTGCATGTTGATAGTTTTCTTTTAAATATAAGATTGTGTGTGTGTGTGTGTACTGGGTCTGGTTGGGATGGAGTTTAGTATTAGTGATGTTATAGTGTACATATACAGGGAATGTCTGCATTGAGCAGAGAAAAATGTTCCTTTTTTACAATTTTACCATCATGAGAGAGATTAGATTGAATATGTTACTGAAAGAGACAAACACATACATTTAACTTTCCTCAAAGTGCTAATGGGTCCTGCTGCAACTCCAGTTGTGTTACGGTGACCATAGATCAGAACCTGGTCTCAGAGGAAACTGAAGTTTTACCTTCTACTCTTACTTTTTACTGTTTCTCCATTATCTTCTGCTCCTTAGAGGATTTGGTCATTTAACATCATTTCCCTTCCCTTCTTGTATTTTATTTTATTTCTTTGACACTCTTGTATGGTCACTGCTGCAATGTCCTTGGTTTTGCTGCGACATCTCTTTGTGACAGAAGTTTGTGAGTTGTCTATTCAGCCAAACCAGTTGTCCGCCTGGTGATGAAATTGTTTTCTCACTCGCTCAACTTGCTCTGTATGGTATGCTGGGCTCAGTCACGCTCTCTTTGAAGTCAGGAATAAAACTCCCATTGATATTCATGAGAAAAGGTAAGGCCAGCTGTAAAACAATAGTACTCTGTACCGCGCTAATTCATCTCTGGCCTGGGAAGTGTGTAGCTCTGTGGTGTTTGGTTACGTGTTCCATAATCAAACCGTCGGTGGTGTTCTGATCCAAGATTTTTCACTCGCAAACGTGGCTTCAGTCAGTATTGTTGTGGGGAGAACATTCAATTTTTCCAGGGTACAGGCTAAGCAGAAGTAACACGGGCCCAACAGCAACAGAACACCATTGCTGGTGATTCAGAGGAAGGGACCTGAACCTTGGTTTTGCCCCATTACCAT